CACCGTTCGGTTATTTTTATCACATCTAAGAACAGCAAATTCCTAGCTTCATTTTGATTTTATTATTATATTTTTTTCCCCTTCATCGCCTCGTATCCAAGCAATCATAATTCAATAAATCCCCGGCCGTCATTAGGACAACTTCAGCGAATGTCCATCAATTAGACATGAGCGGAAAGCTGCTTCTTCGTCTCGGCGGCAGACCTTTTGACCCCGGCCAAGTCGAGTCAAATCAAACTGTGTCAGGTGGGCGGGTATCGAGTGACTCTACCTGGGCCATTAATGATTGAAATGTATTCAATTGTCTGATTGACTGAGTGGGGGAGTGAGTTGATGGTCAGGGATTCGCCAGTACAATGCATGATTAATGACTTGCAGACATTTGGCTTTTTTTAGGCGCCGGCATTTTTGGGGGGGGCGTTGGAATTAAAAAATTATTTCGATTAAATGGTGAGGGAGGGGAGGAGATTTGCAAAGCGTAGGGGCATCATTCATCGTTATCGTTATCGAATTATGCGGCAATTACTTGCGGGAATCATCAGCCACCCGCTGGCCCTTCCTGCAACTGTCTGCTTAGCATTTGTCAATCATTAATCACACAATTTATGTTAATTGAATTGACGTCGATTTATGGCAATTTTTCAATCAGATTTCCTTTTTTTGTGTTGTGTTCTGAGCTCTGTCCTTCCCTTCGACTGTCAGTTTCATATTGATTTTGCATAAAAAATCAAATTCCTATCCGACCCCCCACGACGCCAACTACGACGATGATGATGATCATGATGATGATGATGAGGATGTGACAATAAAATGTCCGCAGTGCCCATCGTGACCATGGCCATAAAATGTATCCATGGATGCATGAGCGTAAGCGCTTTAACTGCACTTTTTCACTGGTTTTATGGACAGTGCGTTGCATAAACGTAATGCAGCCGGAGATTTGAAATGGGGGGATTTAAGGAATATTAGCTAAATCCCCAAATGCGGTATTAAAGCCCATGAAACGGGTCACATAAGATTTTAATAGGACTTTGCCAGTTATTGATGGGCGTAATGCAAATATTTCATTATTTTGGAAATGTATTATTTAAATTGATTATCTATATGGTTTTTTTACAGCTTATTAAATTAGTTATCATTAACTTTGCCGTCTAATTGTCACACGCACTGTATACTATAGCCGAAATCAGCTCAATCATTTGACCCAGTTAACCACGCACACCAGCAGGCACACACATCCATCTGGATTGTGTGTATATTTTCGATGGATGGTCGGAATTTAAGTTTACCCAATCGTAGCGAAAGCTTGACACAAGGGAACCTCCTCTATTGGTCCGTAGCGCCCATATTTGTTTAGCTTGATTACAGCCCAAATGTGATTTAAGGCACGTTAAGCACACACACAACCACACAGAGAAGCACTGGGTACAGGATATCGAAGACATGAAGAGATTGCTCCTCCTGTATACAATCAAAGCTCGGACAACTGCTTTCGATGATGGAAGGCTCTAAAGTGGAGTCGTGCCTGCGTGTTTCAGTCGGCTAGGTGCAGTTCCCTTCCAAAAATCATACTAATATTGTTTTAATTTAAATATACTTTTTTTCTTTTTTTGAAAGGAAAATAATATATTTAAAATAAATCTATGAAGTTTAATATTTCCCTGTATTTCCTAAGCAAATCCCTGTATAAGTTAAAGGTTTAATGTTTCGAAAAGTAAAAATTTTCAACCAATCAGAAATACTACAGCTGGCATCGAAGATAATGGAGAATTCAGGGCAATCTCGGCTGATGTTGATGTGGCAGTACAGTGAAGTTGCAGTACTTCCGGAATTCTATCGAAAGGATACCGAGCCAGGTTCCAGTTCCCCAGTACCAGTTGTAGTTGTAGTGTGTGGTGGTGTTGGCTGTGATGCGGTGTTGTGTCTACGCCGCTGCTTGTGATGCCGCTGAAACCACAGGCAAAACAAACCCGAGAAACCCACCCGGCTCCAGGATATTGCAGGTCCTGCTCTTCAATCCTGACATGCACTGTAAGAAACATAGTTTCGTTAAGGTAGAGGGACAAAAGTAAATCGAAAAAATAAGCTCAAGTTAAATTATATAAATTTAAAAAGAAACACTATTTCCCTTTCATATTTAGTTTGTTACTTGGTAACTTGTTTTTGTTTTTTTTTTCAAGTGCTTCACTTTCTGGTCGACTTCAGCGAGATTAAGGGGTGGCTGATGCTGAAGCCACCTGCCGGTTAACTCTTTGTTCCGATTGCCTTGCCTTGCTGAAATCTCCTGTACCTACAGTTTGTGGTTTCGTTTTGTAATTAAGTTGAAGTTACTTCGTTGAATGCTTAGTTTTAGGTATGCATTTAGCCCAGCTAAATGACAAATGGGTGCGCGGGTGGGAAAGTTTAAGTGCAGAGCTCCTAGAGAGAGAATTCATAAAAAAAGATGGCCAAATCCTTTGATTTGTGTGCGTGCCGCTGCCAAATTGCTTAATCTCCCTTCGCACGCACACACACGGCCACTTGACCCAATTTTTAATCACTTTCCCAGCACACATGCTCTCCTTCTATCTGTCCGTCCATTGCGTCCGCCGTTCTGGCATAAATTTGTGTCTTAAAAGTTTCCACCCAGGTAAAAGTTTCCGTTGCACGTTTTAAGCTGCCCCAGCCAGCTTTAAAATCGGAATAAAGCCAAGCCGGCTAACTCCCAACTCAAAATTTGAGATGGAACATCAAATTGTACATTTTTCCAACTAATTGTTTGTACTCATAAAAGAGAATACAAAGAAAACCATGATAATTACAATTTGTTTTGTAAGATAATTTCTTATTTGTTGTGTATAATTTAAAATACTCCTGTTGTCGCACTGTCATCTCTATTTCCATTTGCATCTGTGCAGTTTTTGAGGTAATTTCTGTGTTACAAAATATTCTAAAAACACATTTGCTCGGCACGAAACAAGAAGGCCAAGGCAATTGTCCTCTCTTCCCTGGATTTCCATTTTTCCCTTTTTGTGTGGGCGCAAAAGTTTTGAACAATAATAAGCAAATGCCCAAAAGTGGGCTCCGTTGTATTTGTGTCCTGTTCCACTGCTGGATACAATTGCCAACACTAAAAGTCCCCTCGAATTCTCGTATATGAATATCCCCCCCATGTTGTTGTTTTGGGCAAATACGATTAAATATGGCAAAAGTTGTGCGTACACACACGTCGGCCATTTTATTTAGATTGCAGGAGGCCAGAGACAGAGCCAGTAACAGGAACAGGAGCAACGACAACGACAACGTTGAGGTCCTCGTCGTGGGGCTCTCAAAAATATTTTCTGTACCGAAAGAATAATATTTTTGTTTAACTAATCTAATAGTTACTTATTTACTTAATTATTTATGAAATATTTTTCTATTTTATTACTGTAAGAAATTATTTTAAATTGTGTATACAAACATCTTGCTTAGTACTATCACTTACGAAAATATTATTTGTATGATTTCATACATTTTCGTGTAAATGAAACCGTAAAAAGTAAAATATATTTTTGAAATTCTCCTAATTTTACTCAAAGTCTCTGAAACAGTTAATTAAATTTATAAATGATAATTTTTCTCGGTGCAATTGTGTGTTGCTTTTGCTGCTAACAAGGCCAACACATGTTTTTGTGTGTGGCCCGGGCCACACAAAGCAGAGCAATTCTGTTAACAATTGTATTATTAAAATGATGTCAGTGCCTCAGTTCACTGTGCCCGTCCTGTGGCCCGGCAATTGACCACAAATGCATTAGTGGCGACCACCTACACTTCCGTTTCACCTTCCTCCCAAGGCGAATTACGCAAAAATTTGCAACACTCCATGCCATGCATAGATAAATAGTAAGTGAATGTGCGGATGCCAATCTCTGCGGTAATCCCCAGATGACCTACAAGTTGTTGGACAACGTTGCCGGAATTTTTGCACTGTTTATTGGGATGGGGAGATCCTAATTGATATAAATTATTTATAATAATTTCGTGCACCGTGACCCGGTCTGTTGGTGGTGGTTTTTATGTGAATTCATGGGGAAATTATATTTTTCTTGCAGGATTATCAATATTGGTGATGATGTTTGCTTATGTTTTCATATTCCTGAAATGCTTTTGATGCCAATTTAAAGCTATAAAATGGAAGTATTATATTTATATCCTTTATCCGCAGAGACTTATATTTGTCCTTATATATCTGAGCTCTTTTTAGTTCCATGTTTGTGACAGTCACACTTTCCATCTTCATCTGTATTTGTTCAGCTTTAGGCAAGCAAAATCCAGGTTAGCCCCCCAAACGTCCTGATTATATAGCCAACCGTTCACAGCTCCTGAGCAGTTATTACGTTTTACTTATTGCATTTTTCTGCTCTTTGCATTTTCGCTTGAGCTTGCAAAGCGATACAGGAATCGCAGGGGGAATGGAAATGCTAACGAGAATGCAAGGAGCCCCAGCATGTGGCTCATATGACATCTGGCCGAGGGGGATTCCCGAAGTGGGGGGAGCCGAATGCACTGCTCTTGGCCATTGTTTGCTTGTTTTTACAACTCTGATTGAGGTGAAATTGCATATTTCTGTGCGCTTCTTTCATTTCATTTCATTTCGCTCAGTTTCTCCATCTGCAGCGTCTCTACCTCTAATATTTTCAAACGTTTTATTGAATGTCGTTTACCGCTTGCACTGCTTGCCATTCCTGGCCTTGCCTTTCCGTTTCAAGCCATCTTCAGCTCAATCTCCAGCTCCGGAATGGCTGCACTTATTTTACCTGTGTTTTCACGGCTGCCTTGGCTTTGTGTTTATTGTGCGAATAAATGTCAACAATGGCGAAATGTACATGGATTGCCAGGCGATTTAGATGGCGGAGTGATCGGATATATTTATAAAGGAAGTTGATGGCACAATCTTTAAAAATCGCCTACTTTAAAGCTGAATAAATACTTGGAAATTTTCAAAAGTTTTCTCCACAAGTAGGCCTTGAGTAAAAATTCAGGCTTGCGCTTCATATCGAGCAGCTCAAATCATATATATTATACAGATATCTGTTGGCAACAATTATTACAAAAGCGGGTAGAGCTCACAGAACCGAAGCCAGTAACCGAAATAAAACCAGGCCATGTATAATTTAATAGAGTGTAAGATCCTTTCGAGATCCCTTGGCCAAACTTCTCTTACAATCCGATCTCCGCAGATATAAAGCACAAGAGTGTAAATTCAGTCGGTACCAGTACAGTGAAGCTTAATGCCAATGCCCAGGAGTTTGTGCCACAACTGAAGAAGAGGGAAGCGATATATGGAGCTGACTTCGATTTTAAGACAATGAAACCAGAAATTGTGCCCTTCGATGAGCGTATGCCAAAATGTAAACTGACATTGCCATGGAAAGGGTTTCCCAGGAAGCCGGATAAGGGTAAAGTCTGATGGCACCCAATATTACCTGTTTAATATTAGTATTTCCGGTAATATACAGCCCCTGGCAGCACCCAGATTGTGTTACTAAATGATGTGGACTATATGATTGTGCCTCGCGCCAAGAATGTAAAGAGGTCCAAGGACGATGCCCCTCTGGCTGGCAAGGAAAATCCCCCGGTATCCAAAGTGGAAAAGCTTCCCAAGGAAAATGTTCCTGTTACTTCAACGACCGCAAGGCTTTTGGATATGGAGGAGAAGCGACGCGAGAAGGAAAGAAAGGTGGCAGTGGAGGCCTTAAAGTTGGTGGAACAAAGGCGCATGCGTGGTGCCTTGCTTCCAACCGCTCAGAACTTTGAAAATCCCGAGGCCCCGGCGCCGATAGTGCATCTGTCACGATCTCCAATCCGATATAATCCAGAGGAGAGGATCAAAGTGGACCGCTTGAGAGCCGCCAAGAAGGAGAGAATCGAGAGGGTCCTCAAAGAGATGCACAACGAGAAGGTGCAGCTGGAGAACTTCAAAAAATGGCAGCTGAACAAGGTTCACCTTGACGCCGGTGTATCCACCACAGAAAATAAATCTGTGGTGGCTGCCACCAGGCGATATATCCCTACCGCCAAGGAATGGGACGAGCAGTGTCGGGCCAAGCACCTGGCCATCCCCAAATTGAATGCGGTCAAAATCAGGTCAACTGAAGTTGAGAAACGAGAGGACCCCAAGACCACCGATATTCCTCGCTATCGTCCCCCGTCCCAGCTCCTTATGGGGGAGAAGCGCAAGGGAAATTTCGCCCACTCGCTACCCATTAAAAACTGGACATATCGCCGGCTGCCACAAACTTTGCCGCCATTAAAGAATCGTATGGGAAAAGTCGTTCAGCGCTATAGCATCGAGCAGCTGCTGCTATTGGAACCGCAGCCCGAGGATCTTGGAAAGCCCGATCTCGATCAGGGACTCGGGCGTTTGAACATAATACGCGAATAGCTGAGCCGTTTTATGGATGTCCTTATTCCTAACATCCTTACATTCCTATTTTCCTTGATGTTCATTAGTAATTGTTTGTATTAGTTTCCATTTTGGGTTTTTCTTCATTGAATTTTACTTTGAGAAGGGATTTTATATCTTTTGTGATAAAATAAAAACACTCTTGCATCCAAAGTCTGATCTTGTTTATCATGTTCAATATATTGTGAATTATTGTTAAAAAATTTATGGCTTTAGAAACGTGTTTTATAAAACTATATTTCTCTCTTCTTTATCTAGGAAATTGGATCATTTTTCCATCTGGTCAAAGAATAGCATCCATTGACCGGCTATTGCACTTTGATCCCCGTAATTTGCTGATGTTATTGGTGTGGCTGTCGCTGTCAATTGCACAGAACAGGTGCAATAATTTTTATGCCATTATTATGCTTATTATTTTACGAAGCCTACTGTGCAGACCCCGCTGTTGTTGCATATTAAATTTCGCTGAAAATTTGTTTTAATTTCATCAAGCGAGCGAGAGGTGAAGAGCGCCAGAGCAATTTACACATCGGTAAAGAGTCCGGAGTTGCGTTGAAATAAATTTTACAGGACGAATCCCCGGCGGGCCTTTGTAACCGTGGCTGAAGCGCAAAAATATTGACATGTGGCTATGGCAACGATAGCCGGGAGTAGGAGAGTCGCTCCATGGAAGGGTCTCTGGCGATAGGGGGCCGTTGGCAGTATCATATAACTTACAGACATTGCCCTTGTCATTTTTGCTGTTGTTGTGGCCTGGCCAGCATTGCGCAAATAAAGCGGAAAATTGTGTTTTTCTCCCTTGTTTTTGTGTGTCCGGGAAAAAAAAAGGAAAATAAATGCCAAAAAAATAGCGCAAACAATCAAATGCATTTCACTGCTCGGTGTGCGTGAGTGCATGTGTTAAAATGACCTTTAGCTTTTTATTGTCGCCATTTTTGTTGTTGTTTTTTGCTTTTTGCCATTCGCTTTCTGCCACTTCTCTTAACCCTTTGATGCCTCCTTCTCACTTAGTCTACTTTTCTTCTTCTGTTGTCGATCGCTTACAGTGGTAACTCCAAATGAAGAACACATGCGTATTAAATATTAAATAGAAATAATAATAAGTCAATATTTTAAATGAATCGTTTAAAGAAGTTTCAACAATAGAAAAAAAATATAAGCAATTAAAAGTAAAATATTTATTTAGCATAACTTTAATGCACTTTAAACCATTTTCCTCCTTAAAAATCTGAACCTTAACGTTGCTCTACTGCTGCTCAAACCGCTTTTATTTTATTGTTCTTTTTTTCCCCCGCTCCAGGCTGTTGCATTAATTGCATATTTAAATTTATGCTGTTAATTGTTGGAAGCCCACGGGGCCCCGGACGCATTGCCTTCATCGCCAGTCGCCTCGCTGAGTTATGTGTGCCCAGCCAATGCGAATGCTCGGATTCCCTCCGCTGACTGAAAGCCATCAACAGCTCGGCTTGATGTGTGTGTTTGCCCGGGAGTGTGTGGCAAAGGGTGTGTCTGGCGCCTCAATTGTAACATTTTATACATTCCATCCGCTGGGTGAGAAAAGCGCACTTCGGGTGAGTGAAACTCCAGAATTTTACTTTAAACTTAAAAATTTTATTTTTTTAAAAGCAAAAGTCTATCTATTTTAGTTAAAATATTGGTTTTAAAATTTTGTATTTATTTATAAACACATTGAATATATTTTTCTTAATAAAAAGCACTCTTTTATTCTTACCAAACCTATATTTAGTTCAGGTTTATCTTATTGTACAAATCTTAGATTATAATAAAGGAATGCTGGAAATTATATAATAATATTGTTAGAAATAAACGCAGTCTGCAATGGAAACTCCCAGATGTAGACTTCTCAGGACTGCTGATGGCCCAGGCGCCATTGAAAAGGCCATTCCGTTGTCCAGGTCCCACATAGTCCACATTGTGTAAGCTGATTAAAGGCCGCAAGTTTGAGGTAAAACAGGACAAGGCGGAGAAGCAGCAGCAGCACCTCAATTGGCAAACACTTTGTCGCACTAATTAAGCCACTTATAGGCGGCGGTGGGCTTGGGGACTTGGCAGCGCTTTAGCCGAGCGTGTCACCCGGTCGTATGCGTAATAAATTTTGAATGCAGCAGCACCAGCATGAGAAGGCACCTCCGCAGCAGAGATAAACTCGGCCTGAGCCTGGTTAGGGCAAAAGTTTTGCATCAAGTATTCCCTTTTTTTGGGCGAGCGTGTGGGTCACTACGTGATCCTCCAGTGGCGACGTGACAAGCAGCAGCAGAACCCGCTCTGAATTGCCTTCATTTTTGTGCTTCCGCTGCCGTGAGCAAAAGTGGAAAGTGCAAAGTGCACAAGATGGCTCCCAGTACTCTCCGAGAACTGCAATTGCCTGCCTGCCTTGTATTTATGTAAACTGAAATTACTTTATCACTAGATTAGGCTGCAGGCTAAAGAGTTAAGAAGGATTTGATTAAGCCCACCTTTGATTGGATTATTTTTAAGATATCAATTTTATTTTTAGGGAAAAACTCACAACTTAACAAGATTTTTATATATTTAAATTTGCTTTAAATGAAGGAAAGCTTTTAGTTCCTTAGAGGTTTCACCTTTTAATTAATTATCCTCCATTGATCAGCTTGTCCCAACAGCTCTCGTTTTTCCATCCCACGAAGTGGGTCGGTCAGAGGACCTTATAAAAGGGACGAACCGTTTGTGTGGTTGGGTGCAACACAATATGACTGTGTTGTCAACGATTGTTGTAGTTGTTAACTTGGCTGATGTTTAGCCGTGTTGTTATTGCAGCTGCTTGTTATTGTTGTTGTTGTTGTTATTGCGACGCGTTGCCATCCCGTCATCAACATCATTGTCGGCACCATCAGCGTTGATGGCTTGTTAAATTGCCTGTTTCACCTTGTTCCTGTTTTTGTTATTGTTGCACGTGTGCTGTCCCCGTGTGTGCAGGTGTGCGTGCCTGGTTTTTGGCTCTGGCATACATTATGCACATTAGCGCACATTATGAACATGTTCCCTGTGACCCTTTTGGGCAAACATGAGAACGCCAGAATATGAGAACATGAAAAATCAGGGCCCCGAGAACTGGACAAGCGACAGTTCGTGACCTGATTGGCAACTAGCCAGAAAGGAAAGGGCCGCTCCGAAAATGATTTTCGCTCTTAAATTAGCCGTCGCAGCGCCCAGTTGAAAAATTAAGTTGCCCATTGCTCCCCCCACCTCCCTTCGGGCCATGCTAAGTGTTTACGTGTGCACTTTTTGGCCATCCACAGAGTCAGGTCAGTTGTTTTTTGGCGAAAAGGTGCGTTGCTCTGTCGACTGGAAATATCTAGCAATTAAAATTCAAGCTTTTTTAGAGGTTTTAAATATTTAAAAAAATATTTTCAACACCTAGCGATTCCTTCTTAATGATCTCTTAAAATTTAAAATATATTAATTAAACATTTCCCCTTCCGTTAAATCAACTCTCTCTGAACATAAATCAAGAAAAAAAAAAAGAAACTGCAGCATTTCATGTAGATAATCCATGCTGAGTTGCGATTATCCCTTTATGCAGAGTCCACGCACTGTGCGAACTGTTGCCAGTTTAAATGCTACTTAAATGCACTTAAATATGTCCCTCCATTAAGACCTCAAACCTTTGTGTGGCCATAATTATCGTGCTGGAAATGGCTCAGGCCCAATCGATGGCGAGAACGCAGACAGAAAAAGTCGCACATGACAATGAATGTTAATTGCAATGGAGAGACTGTCTCTGTCTGTCGCCCTTTCCCTGCTTAATTATCCTTCTCCTTCTCTGGATACTGAAATTTACGCTCGCAAATTATGTTTAATAAATGTATTACAATAACAGAAACATTTTACATTAAGTGAAGCCGCAATTGTTAGTGACTGTGTGACTTTATTTTTGTTTTTTATGCTGCAAAGGCAATAAAAAGATCAGCCAAAGGCTGAAATACAAGTGGCAGAAGTCATCAGCAGCTAATGGAAATGAAATATTTTTAATAAAGCGTTGTCGAATAAATTGCAAACTTTATCTGTTTGGGGATTACAGCCCATGAAAAGTAAATAAGTTTAAACGCACACAAGCAGTCTCAAGTAAATGGTTTATTAAGCAAATGCAGTGCACTTGGTCTACAGTTTTGCAATAACTAACTTATTAAGTCTCTATTTACAGATCTATAAAATCAAACAGTTGCAACATTTTATTCCAATGTTTCAACCAAAACTGCGGTAAATAAACATTGATTAAAATTCATGGTCCAACAGTTTAATGTCATCATCAACGCTTGGTCTAAATTAATTAATTTTTTGTGTATTTTCAATACGTCCTATTACGCCAATTGTAATCTGATTTTATTAATCCCGCATTAAGAGCTTTCGTTTCATTGGTTAGTCAAGTACTTTTCCGCATTATTGATGTAAAAAACTATTTGTAAATACAAAACTAACCAAAAAAATAATGTTAATTATCCATTCACAGTGACCACCGAATCAGTTAAAGGATCCGGAAAAATGAGTATTAACTGCATAAGCTGCGATGCAGCTTTAAAAAAAAAAATCTATATATAGTGGAGTATATTATGCCCAACAGAATAATTTATATAATTTAATTAAAGGAAATATTTCATGCCTCATTTTAAAATGAAATTGATAAATAAAAAGTAATAAAATCTTACATTTTTAATATTAAATTTTCAGAGTTAAAATCCAAAATTCTTTCATTCCCAAACGCATAGTGGCTTTCAAAATTGAATCTACCTTTACCCTTAACCCTTGATTGCCAGGTGGGCACTCAATCTGCCACATCAACTGAACCTGGCACTCATTAAGTTGACTTTAAGCCGCGTGGCGCTTTGGCGCATTAATCCTCTTGTTCAGCTTTCATTACATTTGCGCTTATCTGCATAATTGAAATGAATGTTTCAACATTATTTGCCGTTTTAAATGCCGATAAAAGTGCGCACAAAAAAGTGGGAATATACAGGAGAAGTTTTTATATAAAATAAACGCGCAAATGTGCAATGACATATGAAAAACATATCATTAATTTTAAATAACCAAATTAAACAATTAATTGCCAAAGACATTGCCGCAATACAAAAGTCCGCGACAGCAAATTTAATTTCACATTTCAT